GATTATTTCTTTCCGCAATCCCATTGGATTGGGGCGTGTAAAGGGTCATTATTTGATGAATAATTCCATATTCTAAACATATTTCTTCAAAAGGAGATTCATATTCACCACCCCTATAACTTCTTATCATTTTAATTTTCTTATTAAGTTGCGTTTCAACTTCATTTTTGTATTGCTTGAATGCATCTATTGCTTCATCTTTACTATTAAGTAAGTAAATATAGCAATATTGAGTATTGTCATCAATAAAAGCTATAAAATACTTCTTTCCACTGCGAGATGGTATTGACTTCATGTCATAAATATCTGTGTGAATTAAGTCTAAAGAATTTGAATTCCTTTCAACTCACTTATAAGAATGTTTAACATACTTAGATTTCACACATATTTGACATTTTGATTTGTCGCATTCAAATTTATGCAATACTTCTAAATTAATCATTTTTCGCAAGGTTTTATAATTGACATGTCCCAAACGTATATGTCATAAATCATTTGACTCAAGCAAGTAAGAAGAAGCTGAAATTTTATTATTCTCAATGACCATTACATTCAGTTTGAAAAGGCCCTCAGTGAGGGAACCTTTCCTACAAATATTTCGTTCTTATTTATTACAACCTTATCAGATACAAAAATGCGCTTGAACCCGTTCTTGACGAGAAGTGCAGTAGAAACTAAGTTCTTCCTAATTTCAGGAACATGAAGGACGTTGTTCAGAGTCACCACCTTGCTAGAAGTCATCTTCAGAAATATCTTGTCACATTCTTCAATCTTGGCCACTACAGAATTTACCATAGAAAGCGTCTCTTCGGGTCCAAAGGGAGCATATGTAGCAAACGCTTCTCTAACAACACAAATATGGCGAGTGGCTCTAGAATCAATCCACCATTCCTTAGGATTTTCCACCAGGTTGCATTCAGAAAGTATAGCACACAAGTCATCAGTATTCTCGTGCTTTTCAACCATGTTTGCTTGACCCTTCTTCTTTTCTTTCTTTGGAGCACGACAATCTGTAGATTTATGTCTAGCTTTCCCACAGTTGTAGAAATTTCCTTTGAGCCACTTTTTGCTTGGGTTACTTTTTGGTCTAGAAGGCTTCTTCCTCTTTTTATTATTTTGTGGAGCATCCTCAACCATGTTTGCTCCCATTATTATTGAGTTTCCACGACCCTTCTTTTCAGCAGCTTTGTTGTCCTCTTCGATCCTCAACCGAACAATGAGATCTTCGAGCGACATCTCCTTGCGTTTGTGTTTTAAGTAATTTTTGAAGTCCTTCCACAAAGGAGACAACTTCTCAATTATTGCTGCAACTTGGAATGCTTCATTGATGACAAGACCTTCAAAGAAAATTATATTGGTAATAATAACATAACTAATACTTTTAATAAAAATATTAATTCGACTTATACCTTCAGCATGGAAATCGTGAATAATCACGTGTAATTCCTGAAATTGGGTAATAACAGACTTGCTATCTACCATTTTGTAGTCCAAAAAATTTGCGGCAACAAATTTCTTCAACCCAGCATCCTCAGTTTTGTATTTCTTTTCAAGCACAACCCACAGTTCTTTTGACGTCTCCATATTACGATAGCCGTTATACAGATCGTCCTCCAGCGCGCTAAGAATATAATTCTTACACAAAATATCAGAATACTTCCACGCCCCAGTCACGAGAAAGCGTTTATTTTTTGGAATTTCGTCAGGCAAAACAGGAACATCTTCCTTAATGAACTTCTATAGACTTAAAGTCATCAAGTAGAAGAACATCTTTTGCTGCCACCGCTTGAAATCAATCCCGAAATATTTTTCGGGCTTTTCTGCCAGTGTCGGTGCCAATGCAGGTGTTGTTCGGCTTGTCGATGCATTGGCAGTCACCATAGGAACAGGCTGATTTTTGTTCTCATTCGTCATTTCTGTAAAAAAAAAAAAAAAAAAAAAAAAAAAACACAAACAAATATTTAATATACGGCGAAATTTTTATATTTTCAAACCGAATAAAACTGGAGTAGAAAATCACATCGATTTTAATCTCCAATGGAATAGAAAATCGCTTGGATTTTAATCTCCAAATGACAGATAATCAACCAAAATAGAATATACGTTAAGAAATTAAAAAAAAAAAGGAGTAGAAAAATACGAAGGCTTTAATCTCCATAATTGGGAGTAGAAAATCACACATGTTTTAGTCTCCAAAATAGTATAAACAATACAAATACAGAATATAAATTAAGTTCCTTAAGGTTGTTAGTAATCTGTATTTGCAAAATAATTCTGGTGAAGGAAAAACAATATAAACCAGAAATGTAGAAGAAACAAAAACGAATCCGAGCCCACTGAATTTACAATATTTCCTTAAGGAACTTAATCTCCTCCTAGTACACAAGGTTCTGGATTATTTCCTCCCACGATAGAACGTATTACACACTGGTGTAGCGGTACTTCAAACCCCAGTGTTTCAACGAACACAAATGGCGGCAGCAAATCACACTTACTGTTGCGTTGTTGTAGTTAACACAATAGAGAAGAAAGAAGGAGATTTCAGAATTTTCGTAAGAAAAATTTGAGGGAATGGCCTGCTATTTATAGCCAACATATTGGGCTTAAATGAAGAGGTGCAACTCTTCAAGATGACCGTTCACGTAAACGACTATTATGTAAATGGCTATTTACGCAAAATAAAACAAGAAAATAAAATCGGAGGGAAACTTTAAATTACCGTTACAAAAACGGTCGATTTGGATTAAATATTAATTTTTTAATAAATAAATTTGGTCCAAAAAATTAGTCAATCAATCAGATCATTTGACCGAATCCAAAACCGAAGCCGAGCGACGACGATGGCGTGAGGCTTGTCTTCTTCTCAACTCTTTAAGAGTTAGAAGAAGTGTAATCATATATATACTCAGCAAATGAGCTTTTCTCCTCTAATATGGGACAATGTTCCTTTGTGGAAGAGGAGGAAAAATAAAATTTTTATTTTCCCCTCTATTTTCTATTCACCCTCTTTTAAGCTAAACCAAGCTTAAAAACCCAACAAGTAGCTGTATCTGGTGATGATTTCTACCTTTCTTTTAAGGGAATCTTACATAAATGTCTCAAATAAGTCATAACTTATCAACCTCTAGCCATTAATCATAAACTAGCCAAGCACATATAAAAATTAAAAACCCAAATTATGGTTCTTTCTCTTCAAGAATCATACAGAAAAATCTCCTTTCATATTTTTAAGTATGATCAACAACATTAGATGCAAGACGGAAAACAAATTTATGGATGAGGTAGCAAATAAGGTGATGAAATAAAAAAAATAAATATATACTACAAGATTTCAAAAATCTAAGCAAAAAAGGACATTTTTCAATGGGTATGGTTGAAATTCATTGAAAACATATAGATGAGTCAATATACAAAATTTGATAAAGATTGGAGGTGATTCAGACTGATTTAGTATCAAAATTCGTAGTTAAAACAGAGTTCAAATAAATCTTCTGCAACACATGTATCACGCATGTATCTCACACACAGGTATACATGGGTATACATGTGATATACATTTGATACAAATATGATACATATGTGATACACAGTATGATACACATCATTTTTTCATGTTCATCTTCTACTTTGAATTTTCAATTCAAACCACTTCAAAACTCCACCAAACCATCCCAAAAACTGAGATTCAAGCTCCTTATGATGTACTCAATCTATTCTAATAATACCCACTTAAAAGAAAGAAAAAAATTTGAACTTTATTGACTACAAATAGATAATTGGCTAATATTGATAATATTTGGCTAATATTAGTAATATTTTATAATAAACTACTTATAAATGGATATAGTTAGTAATTTTCCTATAAAAAATATTAGTATTATAAATGTAAAACAGTGTCACTATTTAAAAAAGGGAGAAGAAGGTTAAATTTCAATCATAGAAAAGAATACCTATTTTGAATTGTCCTATTTTAAAAATGATTATGACAAAAGGAAGTTTTAATTTTACCATCCAAATTTTCTTTTTTTCTTAATTTATTTTATGATGTCTTTTCTTGATATTATTATTGTTGACGGTAGTTGTAACTGTTGATGATTTCTACCTTTCTTTTAATGACACATAGCCCAAACTTCTACCTTATTTGAGTAGTTTCTAATACAAACTTTAAAAATTTGTCTTAATTTTCTTTCTCATGGTGGTATATTTGAGTATCTTTGAAAATTTACGCCACTTGGTTATTGGAAAAAAAAAAGGTACTGGTTCTACTTTATAAAAGTTATCTAGTTTGAATTTTATAGAAAATTTAATATCAAATGATAGTCCAAGACCAATCATTTTATTTGGTTCATTCTTTGACCGCTCAACACAACTTGTAAGGAAGCCATTCCTAATAGGAAGTTTCTAGCCGTTTTTCTTGAGGAGCGAGAAAAGAGAGGAAATGGACTATCTGGTTATATTTTATGAAAAATGTAGAGATAAATCATGACCTTTGAATCTATTTCAGGTTATTCAGGGGTACGAAAAGTTCGTGGGCCTACATTACTCAAAGATGTTTGGAATCTACCACCGGGGAAGACAAGTGTTGTGCAATTTAATAGTCGTAATCAAACTATTGGAAAAGAGGGTCGAAAGCTTGCTAACTTTCTAGGCATCGTCGCTAGAACTCCCGAACTAATACCATTAAATGTAGATGATTGGCGAGCATTCGATAAAGAAGAAAAGAAGAAATTGGTGGAGTTTGTGAGGGGTATGAAATTATTATTCTTAATAAGTATCATTTATTTTTATACATGATATTATTTTATACATGATACAGTATCATTTAGTTTCCTTGCTCTATCTTTTCAGAAGAAATTCTCAATCCCAATACGTGGAGAAGAGTTTATAAAAAAGTCAATAGGGAAGAAATGGAAGGACTATAAATGTGATCTGAAGACTATGTATGTGACCAAAATATAAGACCAAAGATGTATTGATGAAAAATAGACCAAGTCACATACCAAGGGATCAATGGACTGGTCTCATCTGGTATTGGCTTTCTGATAAAGCAAAGGTCAGTGAGTACCTTTTTGGTTAGCAATTCAATGTGATTTTAACCTCTTAAGTGTTTGAGCAGATTATGTATTCTCACTTGAACAAGTTTGAACATTACGTATTATCTATTGTCAAATAATTTAAAAACAAGTCCCTTCATTTCTTGATGAGTTTTTTTTCTTCATATAGTATGTATCTCAAGCCAGTAGGTGAGAATATAGTCTTTTGAACACAACAGATCATTTAATAAATACATTACCCTATATGCTTAAGTACTGTTAGTGAGTACTTTTTTATGATGCAATGACAGAAGCGTAGTCAAGCAAATAGAATCAGTAGGGCTAAGCAAAAGATGCCTCACACCGGAGGATCCAAAAGCATAGCAACTTTGATGAATGAAAAGGTATTCATGCGTAAATTATATAGTATTAGTTCTGTGCTTCAAATACTATGTCATAAATTTTTTGTTTGTCTTCTACTTTATTGTGTCATAAATTGTTATCTCTATTACACTCAGGACATGATGAATGAGAGGTTGAATAATGGCGAGACATCTAATGAACAACATCGTAGTGATGTTGCTTGGGAAGGAGATGTGTATTCTCAAGTGTTAGGAACTGAAAAAAGTGGTTATGTTCGTGGTTTAGGACTTGATCCTACCCCTTCTCTATTATGGGGTGGTAAATCTTCCTTGCGAAATGTTGTTGCTGATGGTTTGTCTAATGAGGCTGCACATAGGTTAGAACAAGAGATAAATGAGTTAAAGGAGTTGAATAAAAAAACGGGATGAAGAAATCGCTTTGATGAAAAAAAATCAAGATATGAGAAAATTTGTGTGCAAATATGCTTCTACTGAATTATATGGGCCTCAAAATAATGGAATTACTACTAGATAGGTGAATCGATTTCAAAGTTTTAAACTTTTCTTCTTAAAGTTTTGCTTTATAAGAAAATTGTGCTATCTGATATGTGCTTATATTTACTAGGTTCATGATGCCAATAGCGGCAATAAACAAGCAGCACAAGAACCATGAATGCCATCAGTGACATCAAGTTCCTTGTTATCGCAAGGTATATATCTTTTTTATCGTTAGCCTCTTCCTGCTGATTCTTCCTTAGCTGCAGTCTACTTGTATTTTTTGGTGTTGTCCATACCTGTTTAGCTTTGCCCCTCTGTAGTACTTCTAGAGAACTCTTCCCATTTTCATCTCTGCTAATTCTGTTGCTGTCTTCTCTATTTGCCCATTGTTCTCTGCTACTTTAAGTGTAGGTTGAGGTGTTTTTCTCTTCCTACACTCCTCAACGTGATCATGTTTCTGACAAAACTTACATAGCCTGCAAAATTTCTATTATAATAAAGCAACAACCACACTATCAGTTAAAGAACTGCTACTTTGATGTGTCAAGGAATACATGAGTTGTTAGTGTGACAGAGCTCAGTAACTCTGAAACTGAAAAATTAAGGGTCAACACTAAGCTTCACAATGAAATATGTATCCTTATATCCTATTTTCTTTCTTAGGCAACTCTAGCCACACAAAATAAATCTGTAATTCTACTTTCTGATTGAAATTATAAAATTCAATCCAACTTCAGCTATTTCTTTTTGCAAGGAAACAAACTGGAGCAACAGATTCCTAGACATATGCCTTATATATTAGCAATGCTATTGGCAGAGTGATGGCGCTTTAACCTATCGCTTCATTCCAGTTTGAACTGAGGGAGCATATGTAAGCTTACAATTTGAGAGACATAATATCAAATATGTCTGTTTTCTTATTTTTAGTTGTCTTCAAATGGTTACACGAATATTACTTTAATTCTTGCTATCTTCTTGGATTTGCTCTCGTATATGCTATAATATGTATTTTATCTGCAAAAAATTCTTATTGTATGATGGTGAAATGCAGGAAGTTAAACAAGGAAATTTGGCTCTAAGGTCACACAACGATAGCTGACAAGAGTATCACATTGTTAATAAAAGGAAGAGAAGATTGAGAATATCACACTGTTGATGAGAGACTCGGTTTCCAATTTGATGTTTAGTTGTCTTGTACATAAGGATACTACATTTCTTACAAGTCGATAAATAAATTGGTGTGTCGGCTTTATTAGTTCTTGTTTCAAGTAAATGACATTGTTTTGAGTTTGATAATTCTTCTAGTTAGAAGGTATTGCTCTTGTGACTTTGTTTTTGATGCTATAAAATAGTGTTTCTTAAATGAGTGGATTAAGGTAAATTTATGGTCAGTTTAGCCACCATAATAATTGCCACTAAAATAAATTATCTTTAATGGCAATTGTTGAATTTTAACAGCAATAACAAAAGTCGCAAAATATGTTAAATACTACATTTTTAAGTCAGCTTTAGTGGCTATAGTAATTGTCGCATAATAAATGCTGCTAAAAGTAATTAGTTTTTGCGGCAATAATATTGGTCTGCATTCGGCATAAATGCCGCTAGAGGCTTTAGCGACCTTGGATCTAATGGCATTTAATTAATTGCTGCTAAATTATTTTGCGGTAATAAATATTGCCACTAAAAGGAAAATCTATTGCCACTAAAAGCCTCTATTGGCGTAGTGAACTTGAAAGGAAGCCATTCCTAATAGGAAGTTTCTAGCCGTCTTTCTTGACGAGCGAGAAAAGAGAGAAAATGGACTATTTGGTTATATTTTATGAAAAATATAGAGATAAATCCCCAAGACCTCCTCCCCCAAAAAAAAAAAAAGAAAAAGAGAGACTCGTAGAAAATCGCCGGTTGGATTTATTTACCCAACCAAGAAAGACAAAGGACTTTCCTTGGGATTGTAGTTCAATTGATCAGAGCACCGCCCTGTCAAGGAGGAAGTTGTGGATTCGAGCCCCGTCAGTTCCGATAGATCCAATAAATATATCAATATTCCTTCAATCTTATCCATTTTTACCCAAAATACTCCAATCCATCTCCTCTTTACCACTACGAAATTCTTCAATTACATCTGCTCCGCTATGTATTTTTTGTACCCGCCGGCCGCCGCCCAACAATAACTTCAAACTCGTCACACCATCTTCTACAAGTAGTCTTATGTAGCATTCTCAGTGTGACTTTTTTTTTTGGGTACAATGCTACTCTTCTTGGTTTCTAATGGTGTTTCTATAAATAAAAAAATTAAGTTACAAAAGAGGATTTTAGTAGCAATTAGTTAGCGACAATAAAAGAATGGTGTCACGACCCAAATTCACCTATAGGTCGTGATGACGCCCAACACTATAGTTAGACAAGCCAACTAAACATATATCGATAAAATTTAAATCCTAAAAAAATAATAAGACACCAAATTCTACCAATGTGTATGCCAAGACCTGGTGTCACAAGTGTATGAGCATCTAGTAGATTATACAAAACCTATAATACTGTTTGAAATAAAAATAGACAAAATAAAAAGAAAATAAAAGGAGAGACACTAGTAGCTGCAGAACGGCTCAGAAAGGCAGCTCACCACTATGCCCCTGGATAACGTGGGTGTAAGACGATAGGCTCCCCACTAGTACTTACCTCAGTTCCTGCACAAAAAGTGCAGCAAGTGTAGTATGAGTACGTAAATAATGTGTACCCAGTAAGTATCAAGCCTAATCTCGAAGTGGTAGAGACGAGATGGCCGACTTTGACACTCACTATGGGTCAATAATAATAATTTAAAATACAACTAAAATATCTAAATCAACATGATTCACAAAATTTACAATAATTTATTTAACTAGCAGAAATAATTAAATTTCTTCAAATGCAACAATTCTCAATATATTAATTAAATTCCTTCAATTCAAATAATTTCTAATTTATCAATTAATCTCATTTATAGGAGTAACAATTAATTTCTTAACAAGCAGGAATAATAATTCATTAAATTCCAAGGATTCTCCAATTTATCAATTAGCTTCGCAAGCTGAAATAAATTATTAAAGTATCGTGTAATTCTTATTATTAAGCACGATTTCTGTCGAGGACGTACGACCCGATCCAGAGTATCGTGTACACTGCCGAGGGACGTGCGGCACGATCCATAGATGCATCTATCCTGCCGAGGCGTTCGACCCGCTCCAAAAGAAAGGAGGACATTTANTTCTTTGAGTCCTAAACTACCCGGACTTTAGCATTAATAGTAGCTATGCACGGACTCTCGTCACTTCGTGCGTACGTAGCCCCCACAATTAGTAATAATTATTTAATTTTAATCACCTATGAGGTAATTTCCCCCTCACAAGATTAGACAAGAGACTTCCTTGTCTCAAAGTCCACTTTCCGATTATCGCGGCGCGTAAAATTCTCGATTCGATGTCGAAAGATCCAAAACTATCCAAAAGTTATATAAAATAATTAATATATGCTCAATAATTTGAAATTCATCTATTAAATAAATTACCCTATCCAAAATGGTAAAATTCTTAAAATTCACCCCGGGCCCACGTGCCCGGATTTCGAAAATTTTCGGATGAAATGTTACCCATAATCTCAAGAACTCAAATATATAATTTCTATCCAATTCCATAACTATTTTTGTGGTTAAAATCCCATTTTGTAAAAATCTAGGTTTTTCACCTAAACCCTTGATTTCTAAGATTTACTAGTTATAATCTACCCATAATCTATGTATTTAACTCAAAGGGTGTAGAATTAACTTACCTCCAAGTTGTTAGTTGAAAACTCCTCACAAAGAGCTCTGAAATCGCCCAACAATGGATGAAAAATAGAAAGAAATGGACTGAGTTTTCGTCCGTTTTAATATTCTGCCCAGACAGGTTTTTCGCACCTGCGGAAGGAGTACCGCACATACGGCTTTCGCACCTGCAGAAATTTCTCGCAGGTGCCATTTTCCTTCTTTTTCTGGCTCCGCACCTGCGGAAGAAATTCTCGCTTCTGCGCAAGCGCAGGTGCGCCCATCCCTTCGCGCCTGCGCATTTTTCTGCTTCTGCGCACAAGGCCATCGCATTTGCGCGTTTGCAGGTGCACCAATTGCTTCGCATCTGCGATGGCTGGGCAGGCTTCTCTCGTTCGCACCTGCGATTGGTGTCTCGCACTTGCGGCTGTCCAAGCGCATGTGCGATTATGACAGTAGCTGGGAGCTTCAGTCCTTGCTCAATTTCCCAAAATTGGTCTGAGCCTCGTCCGCTTAACACTCGGGACCCCCGGGGCCCGCCCGAACATACCAACAGGTTTGAAATCATAAAACGGACTCGTTCGAACTCTCAGAACGCGTAAAACAACATCAAATCTAAGAATCATACCCTAAACCAAATTGATTCAAACTTAAGAATTTCAAGTTGTTTAATTTACTTCCAATGCGCCGAAATATACTTAAACTACTCGAAATGACACAAAATTTTGCGTGCAAGTCTTAAATCACTATACAGAACTATTTCCAAACTCGAAATTTCAAACGGACTTCAATTACTCAAAAACCTACTCCAAATCAAAAATAATTTTAAACCTTCAAATAGTTGATTGTTACTATTAAGCGTCAAAACGCTCCTGGGTTATCCAAAACCCGATTCAGACATACGCTCAAGTCCAAAATCATCATACGAACCTAGTGGAACCGTCAAATCCTGATTCCGGGGTCGTTTTCTCAAAATGTTGACCGAAGTCAAATTTGGCCATTTAAAGCCAACTTAAGGAACCAAGTGTTCCGATTTCAACCTAAACACTTCCAAATCCCGAACCAACCATCCCCGCGAGTCATAAATTAATAAAAGTATGTTCGGGGAGTTTTATTTTAGGGAACGAATTTCTAAAAGTTAAAATGACCGATTGGGTCATTACAAAAGGTCACTAAATAATTTTGTAAACGAAAATATTAGTAGCAAATAAGCATCAATAGCTATTAAATATCTTTTAGTGGCAATAAAAACAAATAGCCGTTTAAAAGCAACTTCCATTATTTTTATCTTTTCCTTCAAATATTTAGATTAAAATAACTTATTCCCTTCAATTCCTTCCGTCTAAGTTGGGAAAATTTAGGAAAATACTTCAGAAATATACAAATCTCTCATCCGTGTAAAGGTTCTCATCGTTGTTGCCCTACCGCTGATACTTTGTCTCACCATAGCACCATCATTTCCAGGTAATATATTTCAAAAAATATCTTTTTATCACTACTCTCTCTTTTTTGCTCCAAATATATATCCTTCCAGGGTTTGAATGGGAGAGAGGTACAAAATTGCTATGTTTTGGTTATGGTTATAAATTGCGATATTTTTCGGATCACAATAACCTTCATTGAGAGTGTTAACCAATTCCGCTTTAACTATATTCTAATACAAAGCTTCAAGTTGTCCAATCTGTTACTCCAACTTTTTTTTTCAATCTCTGTTAACAATTTAACTTCTATTGCAAAGAATTCGCAAATTGTGAGAACAAGAATATTATAACCTTTCTGCTCTTCAAGTCCACCAAGGAAAATACTCCCGAGCATATTCTTATAAATGCTCAGACCAAAGCTTTAACAAGAGAACCAATTCTTTCAAAAGGGCTGAAATTTTCAGGAATCAACTCTTCACAATTGCTCATAATAATAATAAAAAATAACGAGCATAAATCTTGATATTGTTGGCCAGTGGCATAGCTAGGAATCCCGTCAAGGGTGTTCAAACTTTAAACAAGTTAATAATTTTTTTCGTCGATGAATGATGTACCAAAATTTTTAAAATCAAACTAAGCAACATTTAGTTAAACAATAAAAATACATGTAATCGAACTATCATTTTATAAATTAAAATTAACATAAAAAAGATAACACTAGAAATTTTATTGATAAATATAAGCATAAAATTAAAGGAAAGAGAGAGTCGAGAGGGTTTGTAGTCTGTATTCTGTACAGAGCTTTTGTTGAAGAAATTGTTTTAAAGCTTGACTTATAAATAAAATTTATTTAAGGAATAACTTTTAATTAAAAACTACTTTTAAGATTAGTTATTTTTCTTTATATAAATTTTAAATTTTAAGAGTTATTTTTTTAAAAAAAAAAAATTAGATTGAAAATGTTGGCCCAAGTGAAGGTTAGTTTTGAAGATTGA